TTTCCTTGCAATTCCCATCAGCTTGGGTATTCTTCTCCACAGCAACCTTCCCTAGAGGAGGGGGCAGACATACTCCTCGTAGCTTCAATTAGCATGACATCCTCAGGGTGGTTTTCATCTAGGTCTACTATCACCTCCCAATTATGACCTTGATAATCCTTTGCTAATCTCTCTCGGCCAGCTCCACGAGTAATCTCTTTGAAAGTCCGATTGTCCCTTAAAGACCGACCATATGTCTCTTTCGTAACACTACTTCTCATTTTGAATGGCACATATATCCAACCCTTCTAATCGGGCTCAGCCCGGTCAACAGACCCATGAATTGGATCCTTGGGGTCATCCTAAAAAAAAGTACAGCTTGGGGGAAGCTGGTCATGATATCCTTCTGAAACCCATCTTTCCTAGTTGACACATCCGGGACATTGGTGAGGAATACTCTAGGTTCCTCCTCGAAGAGCCTATCAATGAGGAAAAAAGGTCTAGGGTCTTTAAACTCCTGAGGACATCTATGGAAATCCAACCTCATTCGTCTGCAATAGTAACAAACTTCGAAAAGCTTCTCATAGCTAACATAAATAGGATCATTGTCCCTATCATTAAGCACAAGTACTCTCGAAAAAGGGTAACGGATATCAACCTCCATCAGCACTCTCACAAATAGTCCATTTAAGCCATGCAAAGTAACTTCATCCACTTTAATCATTTTCCCAATCACTTTGACCGGATTCTCCACAATATCAACCTCATGAAATTGGATAGCTAGCCTCGGAATCCTAACCCAAACTCTAATGGTGTGGATCCCATCTAGGTCACAGAAATTTGGAGTTCATTTTTCAATATGAAAAAGTTTCCCCTTAACATACCATGGTCTTCCCTCCAAAACCACATCAACATCCTTTTCATTCATAAACTCAATCATGTACCAGTTCCTTCCATAATGATCTAGGAAAAAGTTACCCTGAATTGGACCCTTCCATCTTATAGCAAGCTTTCCTTTGATGAGTGTCGCATCCACCAATTGCCCAAACATCTTCCCAACCAAGTAGTGACGCTCCATATGTTCAACATTTGTAGTAGAATACAAAAAAGTGGACATTCTGGTGAAACCTTTCTCAAGGGTGACAACACTTGAGAGGGGTTCCTAGGGGACTTTGAAGATGAAGTGAGAAGTTATAAGATGTAGAAATTGAAGTGAGGGGTTTATTGCAGTAACAACCTTTTATAAATAGGTTCAGCATAGAGGTAAAAGAGAAACTAAGTCTAGAAAAAAGCCCAGAAACTAGAAGAAACACAAGGCATGTAAACCAGTTAAGAAACTAAGACGCATGCATACAAGAAAAAGGTGAGTAGAATCATCGATTGAGCTTCATCATATAACAGATAAAGCTTCCCCGTAAACTCAAACGGCGTAATCTAACAAGAAACACTAAATTAGTATAAACAACACTGAGCCTATTAAAAATAAACCCTTTGCATAAGCTAAAGGTTAGCCACTCATCATCAAAACGCACTTACCAATCATATACATTGAAATGCTGAGGGTTCAAAAAGGAATCCTCATTAAGGTTAATCCAGTTATCTATTAACCAAATTTGCAAACAATAATAATTACTTTCCTTTAGCATGGAGATTTTCCATACTTGCATTCTTGTCTCGTGAACAACACTTCATCTGGCTCTCCAGTTCACCAGATTGGTTGAAGGAAAGATGATCGTTTTCACATGGGACTCGAACTTTGGAATGCTTCGCTTTAACCTTTTCCCCTTCGATAAACGCGCATAGTTGCCTTGTTCAAATTTTCCTCTAAAACTTTCCTGTAATTGTTTCCAATTTAAAAATAGGCTGATAATTACTCTACAAGATATAGAATCAGCAAGAAATTGGATTAATTCGGTGAATAGCAAAAGAAGCCAAAGGGGCACAAACCCTAGGCCCCAAATCACCTCCCCCCAACATGAGAAGAGAAGGGGAACAATTTTTTTTATTTTATTTTACTCCTTCCTTCTTGTTCTTGGTTGGTCCACATAGGAATTGATCTTTGCGTGGTACTTTTGTAAGAAAATCTTGATTATATTAGTACATTGGACTCAATGGAGAGTCCCCCATTTTTTAACCCAAAGGTGGGGTTTTCCGACCAAAACTTCTTGCGTTATGTGTCTCTTAAACTTGTCCACATATCTTATTTACTTGCATTGTTTTATGCATCCTATGAATTGTTATTTGCTATGTGTTAGAGACTAAGCTTACACTAGATATTATGAACAATGAACTATATTGTTGTTGACTAGGATAACTTGTAGTGAACCAATTTTGATTCGTAGATTTGCGTTTGATCAACTGACGAATCTATACTTAGTTGGCTGGTGAGCTTGACTACTAAATTTAGCATACTTTAATTCATAATTGCTTTGTCATTGTTGTTTGCATAATGGACTGATATGTAAACATGTTCAAGTTTAGGAATTATTGTTGTGAAACTAATCTAGGCAGACTCTAATTAGTTGAACATATTGGTCATTTACGATTTGTTCTTGCATCTCCACTTTATATCACTGACTAACTTGTAGCTAGTTGACTAGCTCGTTTGACTAGTTTACTATGTAAAGTTAAAATTTTTATTTGCAGGATATTCCGTCTAGTACCCAATTTCATAGGTTATTTATGTTATATTTTTGTCCCTCTAAATATAATGCTCCCTTTAAATATTAGCTAATATTCAAGCACATGACTCCAAATATATTCCCCAAACCACTTAGTACTACAGTCTAGTAGTATTCATATTCACTTATAAGTGGAAGTCTTAGATTTGATTCTCGCAAATGATGAATTTGAACTATATTATTACTAATCCATTGTAAGGCTTAGCCCACCCCCATATCCTAGATAATATCATTTGTTCAAAAAACTTTAACTCCCCAAATCCTATCCTAGCTATATGTATTAGGCATATTAAGGGCTAAATGGTTTCTACGAACTCATTAAACTTGAATAAGCCGTAAACTTTCTAATTATATCTTCATAATTAAGGGCTAACTGATTAGACTTAAAGCCTAATTGGACAAATGGTCCTCGTGGTGATATGGTACTCGGAAGATAGTCCATATGGTAAAAAAATTTGAATTTAAACCCTTATGGTGAAATCCGTTAAGAATTAAGCCCAAAATCAAAATTTCTGTAAGTTTCTTCTTCAAGGTTTTTCTTCTTTTTTTTTTTTTTTTTTTTTTTTTTGTTTTGTTTTTGGTCAGAAGAGAAATATCTAGTTTCATAGATATGCAGCAAGCTCCTTTTGCCAATGGATCCAACTTTAAATCTTCTTTGCTTCATTACTTTTACAAGCTTGATTATTATTGTAATAAGCCCCATAGATGAACAACTAGCACGCTTGCTTTCAGTTAGTTTTGATATCAAATTATCATGAGTGAATATTCAGTTGGAACTAGAAAAGCTTCGGCCATTAGGTACTTACTTTCATCGCTCTGCGCTCCTTCGCAAAAGATTGTTGCACTTTATCCTTCAAGTAGTCAATCTTTTGTGAGAAGTAAAACTCAGGTGCACATGATTTAATCGAAAATTTCTTGCAGAGAGGTACCCACTTTCTTGCAAATTCAGATGTATTGGCAAGATATTCGAAGGTAAGCATGGCAGCACCATCGTCAGATACATAGCAGGAAACTTTATCCACGGGGCAGTCTACAGCAAGGATGAAGCCAAGAAGATTTTAAGCTGGATCCCTTGGCAACGGGAGCTTGCTGCATATCTATGAAACTAGATATTTTTCTTCTGGAAAAAAAAGAAAAAAAAAAACTTAACGGAGAAATTAACAGAAATTTGGATTTGTGCTTAATTCCTAACGAACTTTACCACATGGGTTTAAATCCGAATTTTTTTACCACAAGAACTTTCTTTCGAGTATCATATCACCACGAGGACCATTAATCCAATTAGGCCTAAATTTAATTCACATATTTAAACATTAAACCGTCCTAATTAACTATAAGTGTTTGATCAACAAAATGATTTTAAAATTTGAACTTAAGTTCTTCTCCAATACAGTAGAGACTGCATGTAACTAAAATATTAAGACATAATTAAATTGATCATCTTTTTTTGCCAAACGATATTATCCTGGGTGGGAGAATGGACTAAGCCTCACATCACCATGAGAACCATTTATCCAATTAGGCCTAAATTTAATTCACATATTTAAACATTAAACCATCCTAATTATCTATATGCGATTGATACACAAAATGATTATAAAATTTGAACTTAAGTTCTCCTCCAACATCATAGAGATTGCATGTAACTAAAATTTTAAGACATAATTAAATTGATCATCTTTTTTTACCAAACGATATTATCTATACTAAGAGAGTGGGGGAATAGACTAAGGCTCACAATGGGCTAGCAACAATGTTGTTCAAATTTGTCTTTAGCGAAAATATAACCTAAGACCTTTCACTTATAAGTGAAGAGGAATACAACTAGACCATAGTACTGAGTGACCATTAAATTGATCCTTTTTGAAAACTCGTGTTGTCGATTCTATTTAAACACTAAAATTCATCAAACTTCACCCACTATTCATTTTTAAACTATAGTGCACATGCATGATTATTTTTCCCCACTATGGTAAAACGTCATCTACATTTAATTAAATTAGTGGTTTTTATAAAAGAAATACTAATTTTAAGCCTAATCTAAAATCTCAATCAGGATGGAATTCTATTTAAAATCGAAATGTTATAACATTCCTTTTAGAACACTACTTCTTTACTCTAATATAAAAGCTGCAAGAACCATAAATTACATAAAAACTCATTCAACTCTCAAATCACAGGCGTGAAAGATAGTAAGTGCTTTTGTTTTTTTACGTATTGGAATTATTAGTCAGATCAAATGGCTTTTTATTCAGTTAGTCATATTAATTTGGTTAATGCAGGGATTCATTAACTCCATATACATATAAAGCTTGGCGACCAAGTTTCAAGCTTGGATCGATGGCAGTGACTATGATAAAGATGGGTTTGATTGTTGCAGTTTTGGGTATAGTGTCGTTTGCATTCGGAATTGCTGCTGAAGTCCATAAGGTACCGCAATCTCATCATGTTTTGACTTTATTTTAAAAAATAAGTTTTGCGATTTGTCCAATATTAAATAGAAATAAACTTATTTTCGTTTTATGCAATGTTATTGTTGAATATTGGTCACAAATCGGATAATTGAGAAAATAAAACCTAACATATAGCAGTATGTGGTTAAATTAAAACCTTATCGGTGTGATAGAGATGAAGCAATGACTGTTCCTTGAATAATTGTGCTTTCAAAACCCTAACTACATACGAAAAACCTTGGGGTATCACACCAAGTGACTCCATTTAATCACCAATAAACTTTTCGACAGAACCCAAAGTTAAATTACTGTAACTCTTTGACCATTTTTGGGACCAAATTTTTTGCTTTATGAATGTTAAATTTAGAGATCGTTTGGTAATTATTTCATTTTAACAAAAAATAAAACCTAAAAACCAAAACCTACGTCTTAACATCAACTACATAATAATATAACTTTTTTTGTTAACCAAAAATCAATGAAATTACAATTATAACCTTTAATACATCACTACCCTCTAAATTCAACTTTCTTCCTTTTTCTCACTCCTTAACCATCAACCCTTTTTTTACAGATGTGCTAACCCGTTAAAAACAAATAAATCCTCCCATAAAAAGAGTTAAAAACACTATTTAAAAAATAAAAATAAAAATTATATTCCTCACACATAGTGTAGTGGCCTTTGCTAGTTTTAGTTAAGAAAGATACCAAATAATTAAGAAATTTGAACGAAGTTTCTGCTCTTTGTTTTTCCTTTTAAATTCTTATCAAACATCTTTTGGGGTTTTGTAGCCTGCAGCTGGTATCCCCATAATAGGCCGGAATGGCGTAGTGATGTGCAAGTACCCGTCTGATCCCACGGTTGTCTATGGGTATCTGTCCTTTGCATTTCTAGTGGCATCTTCCTTGACTGGATTCCTCTCTGTATTTTACCCCTACAAAGGCAAATCAGTTCCATCCAGTGCTTTTCTCCAAAGCACTTTGCTTGTTACTTTCTTCAACAGCACTCTGTAAGTCATTCACCACTCTCTTTATCTTTTACGTCACTAGTGAAACCTTGTTTGAAAGGGCTTTAGGAGGGAAAAAGTATAATTCTAGTGCTTGTAGATGTGGTGAAGTATTACTTTAGTCACTTTTTTCGACAATGCGAGAGTCATATATGTGAGGATAAACTCGGTTTTTTGGAGGAGTAAAAACATCTCGCATGCCTCTCGTGTTATTTTTGTCAAAAAGTGTTTAATTAATTGATTTTAAATTGTAACATTCAGTAAATTACATTGGATAAATTGTGACCATTGAACTATTAGGACTCATAGCGAAATTTTTACAAGCTGCATAAATGAAAAATCATAATTTGAATTGTAAAAATACTAAAGAGTGCTTTCAAATAATCAAAGAGTGTAGCATCTGACGTAAACCCTAATAAAACGTGATTTCTAAATAAATAAGTACTTTACGCGCTTTTAAATAAGCACGTAATACATGCCTTTTATTTTCGTCGAATTTGAGCATGTGATCGTTATATCATATATGAACACAGGGGTGCAATCGGATTAGCAGCAGCATTATTGTTATGGCCAACGATTTCTGGGCAGCAGCACCACAACATGTATCAAAATCTCAGCAGCGCAAGTGGTTGCCCTACAGCCAAAACTGGTGTTCTTGGCGGAGGAGCTTTTTTATCTCTCAATTCGTCCCTACTGTGGTTGGTTTGCCTCATGCTGACTAGCAATGCAAGATACGACTTTTTGGATGATTTGAGTGGAGAATCTAAAGCTAAGGAAGCTACCACTTCTGGGTATAAGGCAGCGCTTGAAAAAGGACTGGATAACATTTTTGACGGCGTGGCGTAACATACACGTAGCGTACTTGCGTATATAGTACATACGTACCTTCGAGACGGTGATCTCAAGAACTTTTCTGCATATTGAAAACGTTTCCAGACAGTGGTCTCAAGAACTTTTATGGTTGTTTTCTTTAGTAGTTAGTTTTTTTTTATTTTTTCTCTAAGCTTTTTATATTTCAATATTTCTTGATTTCGTGGTTTGTTCTTTATACTAAATATAGGGCAAGCTACTCCTTCTCCTTCCGTGCATGCATGAAACTCTATCACTGGAGATGGATATCCAAATCGGTAACAGCCAATTACACTATGTGATAAACATCTATTAGACATGTGATGAAATTTTTTTAAAAATGTGGTGAACATCTATTAGATAAGAGTCAACATGATCATGGGTGGTATACTGGAAGTCTAGCGCCTAGATGGCAGGCAGAGCCTAATACTGAGGTCTACATAGGTAGGAGGCGGAGCCTAAATTTATTATAATATCGTATAAAGAAGTAGCTGCTTATATTTAAAAAATACATAATTTGCAAATAAAATAACTTATAGATAATAAAGTATTAGAACAAAGTGAAAACATGGGAACAAAAATCCAATGTGTGTTAATCTAAGTAGTCAACAAGTCTCTTACAATTTATTGAAAAAATAAAATGCAAAATGAGAGCCACGATATAGGCAGGTCTGGGTCAGTAAGGGGCGTCTATACGGTCTAGGGGGGGTGCCTAAGCAGGTCTAGGTCAGTAAGTGCCCAGCCACCTAGTGCCTATGCAATGCTAGGTGGAGAGTTTTAGAATAGTGAACAGGACTATATCTTGGTAGTTGAGCGTGTAGTTGTAGATTTGATCTTATTTTCTTTAATAGCAAGCAACTGTCCATGTTGAACATGCAGTTCTCTCAAATTCAAAATGGTTAATATAATTTTTTTTTTTTTAGGAAATATAAATGGATAAATATAAACTTTCCTCTTTAATTAATTAATTAGTTTCATCAGCCTTTCTATTTCTTCCTTGTTGAAGTCATATTTAGAATAGAAATATGATTGGGTAAATCCTAATGTATCTAGAGATATCTTGGAATATTCTTTTTAGTAGATATTATCCTATTAGAGTTGTGATCCTATTAGGGTGATGATTTAACCTATCCTACTACTATAAATAAAAGGCACAATGGGGTGAAATACAACACATCACACAATTAAATCTCTCTCTTCTCTCTCTCTTTTGCCGCAGGCCTCCCCCTCTCTATTCTTTTAAAATAGTTTAGTCAATTAGGCCTACAACATGTTATCAGCACATTCTTGTCAGAAGCTAAGGAACTGAAGAATCGTAGGAGGAGGCTTTCTTCTACAAAATGCAAAGGCTTTGATTTTTTTTTTGCCAATCAAGTATGCTTAAAATAAAGTAAGATATTTGAAACATCCACGAAGCATGAAAATACTCCCCATGATGCATGAAGCCCCTATATTTATATTTTCCTTCCAACATATATATATATATATATTATATGATTCATATATTTGTCCATATATATGTTTCATGCATTACGCAATTATTATTTTGCTATGTGGAATTTATGAGTCAAAGCATATAAATAAATTAGAAGCAATTTAGGGGTTTTCAAGCCCTAGTGATGTCGCAAAAAAAGATTGGGAAATATGCGGCATGGCTGCGGCTCGGGGCCGCTGACACCATCGCCAACCACTGCAGCTGGCCTGCAACCCAGCCGTATGGAGCACACTATCATAACGATGTCGTTGTGACGTCTGGACTATAGCATCAGCCTTTTGGGCTTTGTTGTGCATACACAGACACCAGGGTTCGGCCTAGTAAGGGTTACCATGGGCCTGCAACCCCTCCAAGCCCAAAACCAGCAACTTTTGAGTTTTTGGGCTTTGTCCTAAGTCCCTGGCCCCAAACCTGCAGTAAGCCCGTATCGCTTGCTAGGCTTTGCCCAAGTTTAGGCCCACTTGCCCGCAACTTATGCTACTTGGCTTGACTTGCCCCGACCTAAAAAACAAGGAGCCAGCCTCAGATGGGCCTTCCCTGCAACCCACAAGCCAAATTTAGGCTGGGCTTACCCCGTGCCTTGTTTTTGGCCTAAACCAACAACTTTTGCTGCTGAGCTCACCTAAACCACACGGCCCAGAGGCATGCAGCCTTTCCACAAACCAATGGGCTGCAGAGCTTATCCCCACATTGCAGCCAACCCACTTTTGCCTAGGCCGCGTTATTTTTTTGACCCAATTCCAATTTTTGGCATCCCCGCGTTATAAATCATGGCCAAATATATTTTGTTTGGGTACTTTGGTTTACACTAATTAATTCTAATTTAATTATCACTTGGTTTATCGCCAACAAAAGCTAATATGACCCGTCTGTAGTATTTTGCTTCCACAATCGACCCTGTTTGGTTTCGATCTATTAAATTAATTAAAAGTGACCAACAGTCCATTAATCTGATAATTAATCCAAAATTATTGACCTGATGATCACTTTGGACATTAATGGTTCAATAATTTATTTTTATATTTTGAACCGTTGACATCCTTTCGTTGCCCTGAAGCTCTCACACTTGAGTTCCCAAAGTAACTCAAATCCACTACACTTCAATCAACATATTGCATTTTGTGTTCTTGCAGGAACCTCTCCTTTATGAACTAATCGTTCATAAAACTAAATTGAACCTGTAATTTCATATTTAGTGCCTTTGAATCCCGAAGTTTTCATTCAAAACTTACCACATGAAACATGTAGTTTTCATGTTTAAATTAAACCAATACATATCTATAGAACCCTAATGTTCAACGATGTATGTCTATGGCTTTCCATATGACTAACCATGTTTTTGTACCCTCTTTTTAGGGACATGTCAAACTTGAACAAGCTCGATTTCACCGCTATGGAAGTATCTGGAAGAAACTATCTGAAATGGGTTCAAGGCGTGAAGCTTCATCCTACCACAAGGGGTATTAAAGCCATCATTGAGGAACCTATCGACGATGAACCCATCGTCGAAGTTGAGAAAGCTACTGCAATGATCTTTATTCGAAAACACATCCATGATGCACTGCAGATCGAGTATCTCACTGAGGAGGATCCATGCACCATCTAACTTGCTATGGCCAATAGTTTCGATCACCAGAAAGACATTTACTTGCCTAAAGCAAGACATGACTAGCAGCATTTATGTTTCCAAGACTTTAAGTCTGTGAATGAATACAACTATGAAGTTTGTAGAATCCGATCAGTGCTTAAGTTCTGTAAAGTGGACTTAACAAACGAGGATCTCCTAGAGAAAACCTATTCAACCTTCAATGCCACCAATATTATCCTGCAGCAACAATATAGGGCACAAAAGTTCACCAAATTTTCGAATTTGATCTCTGTTTTACTTCTCACTGAAAAATAGAACTAGCTTTTGATGAAGAATCATCAAGCTCAACCTACTGGCTTAAACACTCTACCTGAAGCGCATGCGACTAATTCTAGCAGCCATAAATGACGAAAGAATCATCATGGCCTTGGTAATGGGCAACAAGCCCACCCACGGGTCCAAGGTCCACAGAGCCAAGGCCCACCCAAGGGAGGAAATTTGACCCAGAAGTGCCAAACCCTTGCCCCTAAGGCCCCAAACTTCAAGAACAAGGGAAAAACTACTGTTCAATTAGCTTCCACTGAACTGGACATGTGCTACCACTATGGATCAAATGATCATTGATCACGCGTATGCCAAGCAACCCCCGAGGCCATTGCCAATTATGATTCCTGTCATGAGTCTAACTTTGCCCATTTGGAACATCCCGAAGATGCTACTACATCCATAGAGATATCAGATTTTCAGGAGGCATATGCTCCTATGGAAGAATAAAGTTTTATTTTTAGGGTGTTTTTACCCCTAGTAGCTGAATCCATTAGAAGTAGCTGAACCCTTCCCCACCCCCTCTCTATTTATTTAGGTTTATGGTTTAGTTTTTGGATAATTTTTCTAAATCTTTAGAATAATTTGTTTGATTTTTGGTTTGTTTTGAATGATTATTTTATGGATATTATTTCTCGATTGATTAATTGAATGAATGGAATTATATTTATGCATGTGACCAATTCAATTAATTTATTCCTAGGTAAGACTAGTGGGGAAGTTAGTTGTCTGGCTAATGGTGCTACCACGCACACTATATTGTGTGAGCGACACTATTTTACTAACTTCGTACCCAAAAATGCACCTTTGACAACCTTCTCAGGCCCATCCAACCTGATAGAAGGATACAGAAAGGCCCATATAATGTTGTCCAATGATAGTGTCTTAACCATTAAGAGACTCTCTATTTTCCACGTTCCAGAAGAACGTTGTTGAGCTTTAGAGATATTCGAGATAATTAATATCATGTTGAAACCACTAAAGTGAATGGTTCTGAATTTCTTTATATCACTTCTTACGAGTATGGCCAGAAACATATTCACGAGAAGTTGGAACGTCTCCCGTGTGGGTTATACATTACAACCATTCGCGGCAAAGAGGCCCACCATGTTGCTGGCCCTATGCCTGGGTACCAGAATATTTGCTGCTTTGGCCTGACAGTATGGGACATCCCGAATTTGACATGATGCTTCGTATACTCAAATCATCACTACAAAGATTATTCACAGCCATCTTAAGTTTCTTTAGAGGATTCAAGGGGATATTTGTAGACCTATCTAACCAACATGCTAACTATTTTGGTACTTTATGGTGTTGGTTGATGCATCAACATGTTGGTCACATGTCTGTTTATTGTTCACATGTAACGCTGCATTTATGAAACTCCTAGCATAAATTATTAAGCTTAGGGCTCACCACCCAGATTATTCGTTTAAGTCGATTCGACTAGATAATACTGCAGACTTTATGTCACAGACTTTTGACGATTATTGCATGTCTGTTGGGATTGATGTTAAACATCATGTACCCCATGTTCAAACCCAAAACAGCCTGGTAGAAGCTTTCATAAAGCACCTTCAATTGATAGCT